GTATAAAGTTCCAGACTCAGGTTATCTTTCATAACAGCACGAAAGCGAGTACCCTCTTTTCTCTTTTATTCCGCAGCCTGGGGCGGAGGGGTGTCGTTAGTCCCCGTTCATTATCTACAAACATTACGGTATCCTGTTCGCATTCCGAACAAGGGGCTGTTCATAGATTGGCCTCCAGCGATTTCCTGCAGGCACATGTGGAAGTAATAGCGCGCGGTGCTGTCACCCGAGCCGAGGAGGCGGCGCGCACAAGGCCTGGGAGACGAGCCCCCAGCCCAGCCCTAGGCGCGCTTTCGCCGAGCCCGCACCCTGCGATCCAGCTCCCGTTAGGCTCAGCACCGCGCCCTCTCGAGTGCTTCTCTGTGACCCTCCCCTGTCCGCAGCCCTACGTCCGCGCTCCTGGTGAGCCAGAAGGTGATGGCTTTCGACGTGCCAGTCTCAACCGAGACACCCTAGCCATTTGAGTAAGGGTGTATGTGGGAGAGGGGTGGGGGAGGAGAATAAAGAACGCCACCCCCAACTACCTGCAACAAGAAAATTCAAAATTAGAGCGCGGAGAGCGAGCGCGTTCCCCTCCCCCGTCCTCCCTGGGACGCCCCGCTGCGCTCGGGGCTCGTTCCTGGAGCGTTAGCGCCCCCTGTCTCTGGCGAGAGGAATCGGTCAGTCCCAACGCTGGCTTCGCGTCTGGGGCTCCGAGTTTGGGGTTCAACTCGGTTCAGGCAGTCTGACCAATGAGGTGGGGTGTGGGGTGTGGGGGGCGACTCGGGGTCAAAATGCACCCTCCCCAAGACGCGGAGCTGCGGACTTGTAGACAATTCTCCAAATGTCCAAGCCCGGGTTTTTGTTGTGCGAGATAGAAGCTAGGGCAACTTCTCCCAGATAACCCCGAAAACAAAGGCGCTCCTAGGGAGTAAAGGTCGTTCTGCCCCACCATTCCCCACCTACGAAGACCCTCGCTTATTGCGCCCTATCCCGGACTCAATCTAGTCTTTCAAAAATCTGTCACCCTCATGTTGGACTCAACAGTTTGCCTAATCCCATTAAAGGATTAGCGTCTGCACCGCACTTTCCCTAAAAGACCCCTAGTTCAAAGCCACGCAACCGCTCGGAGATCTCTCCTCAGGCCCCTATTTCTAGTTGGTCCAGGTTTCTACAGAAAGGACATTTTTCGATTCCAGATTTATATTCCCACTGCAATGCTACGTGTCCCTTTTCTTCTTTACACAGAAAATACAAAACTACAGCAGCATAGGAAAAAATCCTCCAAACTGAGAGGCAAACTCATTCTGGAAATGATGGGCTGTTTGTAGTTTCACCAAACCTTTTTCCCGGCAGAGCATCAACACCTCCCCCTTCAATCACCCCCACCCCATCTGGTCTGCTTCTCCCCGCCCCCGAGTTGTTGTCGAAGTCTGGGGGTTGGGACTGGACCCCCGATTGCGTAAGAGCGAAAAGCTAAGGCGCAATCTGGAGACTAGGAGATTTAGACAGCCGGGAATTCGAGGGAAACTTTTATTTTGAAGAGGTCAAGGGAGGGGGGGCTTCATTTCCTGACAGCTATTTACTTAGAGCAAATGATTAGTTTTAGAAGGATGGACTATAACATTGAATCAATTACAAAACGCGGTTTTTGAGCCCATTACAGTTGGAGCTAGAGGGAGAGAAACAGGAGGGGACTGCAGGAGGGGACTGGAGGCCTTGGATGTACGTTTTACTCCATGTATAGGATTTTCCTTGAGGACTGACATAGGAGGAGTAGGTAAGGGAGAGGGGAAATAATTTTTGTTTCTACGGAAATCCCTGATCAGAACCCGGTGTTAGAAAAAAACGAAGTAACTTCAAACTGGGAGATGAGAAGAAAAAAAAATATGGAGTTGAATTCCAGTTGTGTGTCCGGAGAGTAATTTACTCGGAATAACTGCACAGGGGTGCCTCTGTGTGGGGAGATAACCATAGCGTTAGAAGTCTGAGAATTTAAAAAAAATTTTTTTTCCAAAACTATTTTTAAAAGTAGTGTTTTTCTAACAATCTTACGGCCTCCCAAAGAAATTGTTTAGGCTTACATTTTTGAGGTTTCTTTTGGGGATGAGGTGGTATTCGTGGATACTGGGACGAATACCAAGTAACGACGCGGGTGGAGGCAGAGGTGTTGGCCCTGTTTTTGGCAGCGGGTCCTGGAAGGCGACAGGTTTTTAATGAGTATTTTCATTCCTCGCCGGCGGTTTGGCGGGATAGCGCAGCAGCCGGCGGTGTGGGGCGCGGCTGGGGGACCTGGAAAGGTGGGCCGAGAAGGACGCTGAGTGGGGCGCTAGCAAGGTTTCGGGGCGGGGGAGGTGTGAAGGGCTGGGCTGGGGCCGACCCGAGCTCGGGGGCCGGCCGTGTGCACATGGCGCCAGCCAAGCGCGCGTAATTACTGGACGGCGCTGCGCCCGGTGCGAGACAGGGCCAGAGGCGGCACCGCGGTGGCGGCTGCCGGACCCGCGGCTGAGCGCAGGCGTGGGGGAGGCTTTGGGGAGCTCCGGAGCCGTTTGTAGGGTCAGTGAGTTGCGAGGAACAGCAGCGGGCGCTGGCCCCGCGAGGCGCTCGGATTGCGCGCCCATCCCGGGGGGCGGCGGCGGCGGAGCGGGCTAGTGGTCTGGAGTAACGACAAACACATTTGGCCCCAAGTGACGAAGTCGTCCTGGCTTCGCATTCCAGCAACTGGGATTTGAGGAATTTCGAGCTGCACTCCAAGGGGCCTGAACTGTGCCCGGTGGTCCCCACCCCCAGCCCTCTCATCTCGCCTCCTCCTCCAGGAGGCGAACCGAGGAGGCTGTGCTGTGGCGACTAGCGGCTAAGAGGCAAGGTCTCCGGAGAGGGGCTGACCCCCTGTGAGGAAGTTAGGGACTCCTCGGAACTGACGGAGGTGACTGCAGGTGAGACAGAAAGGTGAGGGGCAGTGGCCCTCACCGCTCGTCGGGGGACTGGAGGAGCCCTGCACCCTCTCTCCCTCCTTTCTCCGGTCCGCAGTGGGGTGCGCGGCACCTGGCAGCCTGCGCTCACCCCACGCTGCCTCAGCCTCCCTGGTCGCCCCCTTTCTCTACTGCTTTCTACCCGCTGTCCTCCCTGGCCACTTCGACGCCTTCTAAGCGTACCCCTCCTTCCGACACCGTCTGTCCCCGTGGAATCGGGCTTTTTGCGAGAGATTAACTCCTCCCGGCGTCCAGTGGGCTTTGAAACAACTGGGCCCGGCGGTTCTGTTTGGAAAGGGTTTTGACCAGCTCTCAGGGCAAAGGAGTGTGTGTGGCCCGACCCGAGTATGCTGCGGGAGGAGCCAGGGCCTCCCGCCCAGGTGTGCCTTAGCTGCCCAGCGTTGGGCCTTGGCCAGACAGGAATTGCTGAACTGTCTGTCTGCTGTCCATCTCTCCTGTAGCCTGAGCGCCCATCTCGCCATAGGCCCTCCCGGCCCCGCTAAGACCTCGGGATGTGCGGAAAGTGCCCGGGAGAACTTCCACCCGGTCCATCTCCGAGGAAGGGAGGAAAACCTAGGCCAGGGAGGGAACGTGCATGGCCCTATCACGTCTGGGCAGCCGAGCGCCAGGCCGAGCTGCCTGGAAAAGCCCTGGGCTGGGCGATGTGGGAAATGGCTTTTTGGCTCCGTGGCCGAATTGCTCAATGTTTTGAACCGACTCGCTTTGCCTCGGTGGCTCCCGGTCACAACTAGGAAGCTTTTTGGAGTAAGGGGGCAAATGGGACACCACAGTGCCGAGTAGCACATCTCTCGGGACGAATACCCCAAATCCCTGTGAGCCTCCTGGGCCGCAGGAGGGGAAGAAAGGGCGACCAGGCCTTGCTGGCTCTGGATTTTACATAACCCCTCTCTCCATCTTGACCTCCCGGACCCTTGCGTTGCAATTCTTCCCCCTTCTCAGCCTCTTTGCCATCATACTCTTGATGAGAGGCCTGTCCAGCCCTGCTGTGAAGCTCTGGACAGTCCTGCTTTGGAGTTCTGGCACAGTCCTGCTTTTGGATTGACCCAAGTGCAGCTGGACCTTGTTCACGAGAGCGAGGAGGGACGGGAGGGGAGGAGGCGCCAGGAGTGAGCAGTTAGTTCGCTGGTCCCCGGTGCCCGTTTCTTGCCTCCGTCCTGAGATTGGGACTGGACGCAGAGCCCGGGCTCGCAGCTCTGCACCCCAGAGCTGCTTTCAGCCAGGGGCGCGGGCGGGGAGGGACGCAGGGGAGGGGCTGAGGGCTGGGCTTTCCAGCTGCAAACGCGTCTGGCGCCGAGGCGGGCCCGTTTTGTGCCTCCCGGGGACGGGCCGTGGGCGGCGCGCCTCTAGGGGACGTGGTGGCAGCGCCTTCCTGCAGACCCCGGTGGGTGGGGCTCCTTCTGGCCTCCTGGGGGCTGCGACCAAGTTACTTGTTGCTGATACAAAAGTGGTGATTCTGGGGAAAGAGCTAAGAGCTGGAACGGTGACTGAAAGGTGCGGCTCTGAACGTCCCTTGCATCCCGGGGCGTCCGTCCCCACCATCAGCCTCGGAGCTGAGGGGCGCGGGGATCTTGTGGGACCGCGCCCAGCTGGGGATTCAGGGTTGGGGACAAACTGTTCTTCCCAGTCGCACTGGAATCCCAGCGACATTTCCTTTTGTTTTAAACCGAACGGTGAACTAGGGATGGGTTGGGAAAGTGGATGGTAAGGAGGGGACAAAAGGGAGCCTGGGATTTGGGCGCCTCTTTCTCTATCTTCTGCATTCTCCCATCCTGTTTCCCTTGGAAGGGGATGGAGAGGTGCGGGCGGACGCGGGTTGCGCGGGGGCAGCCGAGGCAAGCGTCGGGAAGGTGGGCACCGAAGGCGGCAACATTCTTGAAAGCTAAGGAGGCACAAGCTCGGCTCGCCCAGGCCTTCCCGGTTAGCCAGTGCCTGGGCCGCGCGGCTCTCTCGCCCATAGGAGGCGCTGGTGCGCGACTGTAACCCTAAACCCCCGGCTCCTCTCCCTCCACCCCGCCCGGCCCCTCTCAGGTCTCCGTGGAAAACAATGCAAACGCCGAGCGTCGTGCCTGGGGCGCGGCGGCTTCTCTAGCTCTGAGGAGCGCACGACCGTGGGACCCTCCAATCTCTTGGCGGAGGGCGTGGAGGAGGCTGGAGGGAGAACGGCCCACGCAGTGTTTGTGTGGCTGGGTAGAGATCCGGAGGTGCCGGCGCAGAACCTCCCGGAGGAGGTTTTCGAGCCGCGGTCCCCACTGCGCGGTCTAGGACTCCGAGCCAGAGCTGCGCGCAGCGGAGCAAGCCGGCCGGGTAAGATCTGTGGAGCTGCCGCGCCCTCTAGTGGGCTCCCGCCTCCGCGGGCCCCGGGCGCTGGGAGCCAAGGGATCCCGGAGCTGAGGCTCAGCTGCCTCGCCGCTGCACCCACCCCCCACCCCCCCTCCCGGGAGGCTGAAGTGGACGCCACGATGGCGGTGTGTGGACTCAGTGTGGGTGGGCGACAGGGGATGAGGTCCCAGGTTTGGGCTAGAGAATTGGGGTGTCATTATCACTCACTGTGGGGGGAGCGGGAGACCGCGGAGGGCTCGGTCCCGCTCACTCTTGGGGACAATCGCCCCCTGCTGATCTCCAGGCTCGCACGCGCGCCCCCGCCGCGCCGGGCGGCCTATTGCTGATGTGTTTGTTTTACGACCCGTAGTTATTGTGCAGCGGGAACAGTAGTTTCCAATTTGCCCGGCTGCGCGGCCCCCGCCGGCCGGGTTTATGAGGGGTGACAAGGGCATGCGGACAGATGGACAAGCCGAGGAGCGAGAGCGTGGGCTGCACAAGACCCGAGCGGCGAGTCCTGCCGAGCCTCTGTGGCCTGGCGGGGCAGCGTCGCCTTCCTGGCTCCCGAGGCCCCTCTGCCCCGCGGGTCGGCCCTTAGCGATGGCGACGGTGGTGACCGTGCCCTTCACTCCTGGGGCCCCGGGGGGATTCAATTCAGGCATTTTCGACATCAGTTTTGCTCTTTCTCCTTCACTCCTCGACTTTTGACTGAGGTCAACAAAAAACCTACCAGTACAATTTAGGAAAAGAAGAAGTTGTCAGAGTTGGGACATTTTAGCTCAGAATTCGTTGCGGTGGCGTCTGCATCTGGGTGAACCCCAGGACGCAGTCCCTGGACTAACACTGCCACCTACTGGCAAATTTGAAGAATTGCCATGACCCTCGGTTTCGCGGAGATTCCAAGCAAGTATTTACTGAGGCAATGGCTTGTTTTGCTTTCCTGTGCTACAAGACTCGTTACACGGAAGACATTTATTTTGTACACATTTGTGTAGTTTCCTGCCCTATATATTTTTGTTTTGGGAATTGAACCCAGGCCCAGGAGCATGCTAGGCAAGTGCCCTACCACTGAGCTGCACCCCAGTCCTGCCACTTGTTAGTCTTTTACGTTTAGATAATGAACAAAGTGTTTGCAGAGTGGACCTGTGAGGAAGGTGGTTGAGTACTTATGTTGCTGTTTATAAGTGGGGAGACCTGGTATCTGTGGCTTGATGACCTCAATCCAGTGCTCAATTGTACTACAAGATGCTACTCAGGCTTCCCCGTTAGGAACCGTATCAGGTTAGTGACAATAAAAAAAAGGGGGTCGTTATATTCTCCCATGGAGAAATATCTAGTGCAGAGTGAGCAGAAAGGGTTCTAAGCTTGGATCGTCCCATAAAACGCTCCTGTGTAAAAACACTCCAGCCCCCAACCCTCCCTGGAATGTCTGCTGGACCTCAGGAGACCAAAACAAGCCAGGCTGCGGGGTAAAGCTCCTGGGAAGCACACTGGCCTAGAAAATAGAAGTGGCCACTGAAAGGGACCTGCATTTGTTATGAGATCGAGTTGACTGTTGCAGAGTAGAAACAAGATGTGTAATTTTCACAGTTAGAATTAACTTAGGAGAGCTGAAATTAACCGAACCTCAGAAATCTGAACCTTGAGGTCATCAGTGGCTTTGGGGCTGTGAGAGAGTCTCCTGTGGTCTTTAATCATGCCAGGGTGGGGTGACATTCAATATTCAGTGGTCCTACAGCTGGATGAATTGTGCTGCTGGGGGTGGGAAGCTGTCATCTGGCTTTGTGAGAATGGCAGCTCTTCTAAAAGTGGGGCTGCTGGAGTGCATGCCTTCCCTTTGCTCTCTGGCTTAGCATGTTGTCTCTGCTAATGGAGTCACTTCTGTGTGCAGGGACAAGATGGCACACTTAAGAAAAAGGTAGTCACAGCAGTCAGGTTTGTTTCTGTCTGTGGGGCTGTCTATCAGGCCACCTTAGCAGTCTTCACAGGATCACTGGGCTGGAGGTAGCAAGGGCGGGGCAGTGAACTCCTGGCCTTCCCTAGGTGAGTTCTTATCTACCTGCCTGGAGGCAGGAGACACAGCCTGAGTCCCCAAGGCCTTGGGCCTTCCAGCTTCGTTATCTTAGTAACAAGAAGTGGAAGTAGCCTCAAGTGGCTGTCCTCCAGTGCCTCTTAGGAGTCTGGGGAAAAGGTCAATATGAAAAGCAAAGCACATTCAGTTAAGGTGTATAAATCAGTTCTTGGAGGGCTGGGGATTCAGCTCAGTGGTTCTGGCGCCTGCCTCGAAAGCACAAGGACCTGAGTTCAATCCCCATTACCAAAAAAAAATAAAATAAATAAAAAAATCAGTTCTTGCATAATGCAGCAGAGCAAGCAAGCAGGTCAGGTATTCGGTCTCAATTTACAGAAGATCCTAAGGTTCAGAGAGACAAAGTGTCAGACGAGAGCCAGCAGGGAGTCCAGTGTGATTTGGTATCTCAGAGAGAAGGAGTGAGCACAAGAGGATGGGGTTTGGGAAACCAAAGATCTGGATGAAACTCATTCTTCCTACAAAGTGATTTGTCTTTGCTTCAGCATTTGTAACCTCAGTGACTTACGTTCTGACTTTGGGATGAGCTCCAGACAGGTGTAGCTCATTCAGGATGAGCATTTGCCCCCTGCTCCCAGGATGGAGAAGTGCCAGGAATAGCAAGGCTTTCCCAGAGTTCCACTTGGCTATTGGTAAGGGCAACCGCACCTCTGTCCATGCTCCCTGTTACCTCCCCGTGGGGCAGACACTCTGCAATTGTTCACCAGTAAGTTGTCTGGCTTGCAGATGAGTAAGGATGTGAAGTTTCACAAATATGCCCGGATTTCAAGCCAGGGAAGCTCTCTTATCAGAAACAGGAGTTTGAAATCTTCAGCAAACACATGTTGATGCTCGGAATTTGCATCATCGTGGCTTGCTCAGGGTTCCCCGTCTTCCTTGCCTACTTTGTATGTCAGTAAATGATCTTCCCTGGTGGCGGGTCCATGGGTCTGGATGCACAGAAGGAAACTGGTGGGGCCCAGCCAGGGCAGAGCGCTGCTCAGAGCCTGCGTGCCCTGTGAGCACAGGGAACTGGGAGATATATCATGGGGAGGCCCCGCTAAAGAAAGACAGGATATAAATGTGATAAAATTCAAGACAGCCAGCTGGCCCTGGAAACCGCTTTGAAGTCTGCTGAGTGGATTATCAGTGGGAGGCTGATGTTTGTATGTACAAACACATGGGCTGTTACTGCTAATTGTGGTAAGTCAGGCAGTCAGCTGAGCTCTGGGGCCCCCTGCGCCTGCCACTCTGAGTCCGGGCATCTGCCAAGACCCTTGGAAGCCATCAGCCAGCCGTCACTGAATTTCATTTGGGTTCACAGCCCCGTAATTATGTTTCTCCCACTGTAGGGAGTAGAATAGGAGGAGGAGGAGGAGGAGACTCCAGTTTGCATTAGGGGTGCAGCGAGATGGGACAGGGCTGAAACACTGATCTTCCCTTTGAGAGACGGTGTGGCAGAGTGGAGGGAGTATAGCTTTTGCATCTCAGACTTTGTGTTAGACTCCTGGCTCTGCCACTAGCTGTGTGTCTTTGGGTTATTTGCTATGCCTCTCTGGGCCTCAACTGCTACTTCTTAAAAACAACTAGGTCACAGGATTATTCTTTTTTCTTTTTTTTTTTTTGGTATTGGGTCCTTGTGCTTGTGAGGCAGGTGGCGGAACCACTGAGCTAAATCCCAGGCCTCTGTCACAGGATTATTCTTTAAAAAACATGGCATACACATAAAACTTTGACTTAAGACATTTTATTATTTTTTTCTATCCCCCCCCTCATTCCATCTGTCACTTGCCTTTCTTTTTTTTTTTATTGGTACCAGGGATCGAACTCAGGACCTTGTGCTTACGAGGCAGGCAGTACTTGCCTTTCTCCTCCATTTTCTTGATAGAATTCAAAGAAATAGAAATCTCATCTCTGCAACTAGGAAACAAAAATACTTGATTAGGCATCACCAAAACCTACACTTAGGTTCTTAGCTACTGGATCTCCTCCCTACCAAAGCTAGTAAACAGATAAAGAGCAGCTAGGGCTAAACAAGGCATAGATTGATTTAAAGACAGTTTACTCAGGACCGGCCCTCATATCTGGGTTTCCAGGTCTGCCCTGGGCCAGCCCAGTCCCACTGGCTGCTCCCTCGTGGGACTGGGGTGCAGAGGCCAGGTGCCTCCTGGCCAAGGCACTCTGCTGTACTGCGTCTCTCTGCTTTCTTGCTTCTCCACTCCTGCCTGTGCCTTGGGCCTGTGGCCCAGCTGTGCATCCCAAAGGTCTTAGAGACCCACGCCGGGACCTGTGTGTCCCCCGGGTCACAGTGGTCACCTCTGGGCACCACTGTTAGTGGGAGTTTCAGAACCTCCAGATCAGAATGACACTTTAAAATACTTGTTCCGATCAAATAACTTTTCCAAAAGTTACAGAGGAAGTGACATCTGGGTGAATTGAAACATGATGTCTGTGATACTCCACATAGAGTAATAAACACTGGTTTAGAAGTTTTGAAAATACACAATGTTTATTTCTTTGTTTTTTGTCTTCTTGATTTAAATGGTCTAAAGGAACCATTCTCCTGGATTCCAAGACCGGAAACTGAGACTGTCCAGAATCTGAAAGCTGCAGGCCTTCCAACAGTGTCTCAGCCTCAGACCTGTTCTGACCCTGTGGCCCCGTCAGGCCAGCTGATTCTTTCTTCTTAGATGTCTCATCGTATTAACTGTGAATGAAAAATTGGCACTTTTTTTTTTTTTTTAAATGATGTCACTGACATTTTCTGTTGTACAAGCATGAAGAAAATTAGGCTCAAGGGTTGTTTTCTGTTGGCTAACATTGTTTCTGTCCTTTGACTTTCGCAGTTCTCCAGAGCTATGGGGACATCCTGCCCGGCCTTCTTGGTCCTTGGCTGTCTCCTCACAGGTAGGTGTTCCTGGTCTCTGGGCTCGTCGTCTTGGGGACCCCATGCTCTGTGGGTGCATTACCTGTCCTCTCCAGTGACGGGTTGAGGACATATACTATCCCGGCCTTAGCATGTTAGTTAGAGTAACTCGACCTACCCACTCACCTACACTGGACGTGGGCCGCCAAGAGACATGGACCAGATAAATTCACATATGTTCAAAGGAAACAAAGAGTGGAAAACTTGCCCAGGAGCGCTCAGTAGCCAAATCATGCCTGGCTTAATGAAAGAGGCTTACTTTGCTTGAAAATCCCATTTTTTAATTCTTCCCTAGGAATGGAATCGGTAGAGGAGTGTTTCTCGCTTGGGGGACACTATTTCCTCCTCACCCGGAGGATGCTGTGGGGGCCACTTGTTTATCAGACTTTTGTAGATATCATCCAGATATTTAGGTACTGAAACCAGTGCTTCTCTTGTCTGAGGAGTTAACTCTGTTTCGGTCTCATCCTTATGGGTTTGGTAGAATTAAGCAAGACCAGATACTTAGTATTGAAGTTCTAAAGTCCACTGAGTAGAGCCAGGATGGTGGCTCACACCTGCAATCCCAGCACTTAGGAGGCTGAGGCAGGAGGATTGCTGTGAGTCCAAGGCTAGCCTGGGCTACATAGTGAGTTCAAGGCTAATCTCAACTACATAGCAAGACCTTGTCTCAAAAAATAAAATAAAATAAAATAAAATAAAATAAAATAAAAATACCTCCACTGAGTGCCCCCCACCTACAGGGTGACAGATAGCCTAGATGCAGATAGCCACTGTTCTAACAACCTGTAGGAGCAGGTGGTCACATATTGAAGTTGTGTGGGATTCCCATGTTAGGCAAGGGAGATCTAAGACAACTAATTAATAATTAAGTCATAACATCACTCCTGTCTGTCTTATGGCCAAGGGATGCTACACTGAAATTGATGAACTTAAAGGTTTTTAGATCTTGGGCTTTATTATTCGAGGATTAAAGTCCACATCATCCTGCCTGGGTTCTGGAAGTCATTAGAGACACAGCTTCCCAGAGGGCAGGGGGAAAGGGAGGTGCTGAGCCTGAGCACAGATAGACCTGCTCTGTGCTTTGCTGAGTCCACCTCCTGCCCGCATCCTTGTGCCTGTCTTTAGGAAAGGGGAACTTCTGCAGGGAACGTGTGCGATGAAGAGCCCACGTGTGCTCCTGCCCAGGACATCTTAGGGTATTTTATGGTTACACATAAGAGTCTGAAATATGGAATTGGATCAGACGTCCTCTGTCCATCTGAGTGGCCGGAGGGGCAAGTGGAGCCGGCTCAGTGGGGCTATCGAGCCCTTTGGAACACTTGCTGCTCTTAGCAGATGCAGCCGCTGCTATAATGGAGGCCTTTTCATGGGCATCCAGACCAACGGATTTGGGGTAGAAACGGTCATTGTTCACGAAAGCCGCCACTGTGGCTTCTCTCAGTTCTCTGGGGGAGATGTCCTCTCTGGCTTCGTCCTATTCAGAGCATGTTTCCTTTGACAGAGCTGAGCCTAATCCTCTGCCAGCTTCCACTGCCCTCCATCCTTCCAAATGAAGATGAAAAGGTCGTGCAGCTGAATTCATCCTTTTCTCTGCGGTGCTTCGGGGAGAGTGAAGTGAGCTGGAAGTACCCCATGACTCCAGGAGACGTCCCCGACGTGGAGATCAGAAATGAGGAAAACAACAGCGGCCTTTTTGTGGCGGTGCTGGAAGTGGCCAATGCCTTGGCGGCCCACACCGGCTGGTACACTTGCTACTACAACCACACACAGACGGAGGAGGGCGAGGTCCAGGGCAGGCACCTTTACGTCTATGTGCCGGGTGAGTCAGATGGGTGCCCTGGACCACGCTGCTTCTCATCCTGTTTCTCCTGCTAATGTCTTAAGATATTTTTTTAAATGTAAAATTCAATATTTATTGGATAAAACTGAAGAGTGGAGAACACACAATTTTTTGTTTTTTTAAAGACAGGGTCTCACTATGTAGTTTAGGCTGGCCTTGAACTCAAGGTGGTCTTCCTGCCTTGGCCCACCTCGTTCTGGGTTTAGACATGTGGAGCATCACACCTGGCTTGCTGCTGTTTCTGAGACAGGGTCTTGCTATGTTTCTTAGGCTGGTCTCAAACTCCCAGGCTCAAGGGATCCTCCTGCCTCAGCCTCCCAGGTAGCTGGGACTATAGGCATGTGCCACTGTCCTGGGCAGAACATGTGAAATTAAATAAAGTTTGTCAGTCATTATTAAGAAATTCATTGTTAATATTTCAAAGCTGCATTAAGTTTTTAAAGTCATCTTTGTTATGGCATGTCCTTTGTGTGCTGCAAAATATCTGGACTCTACTCATTTCTATTCATTTCAGTCAAGCTGAGTAAATATTTACAGTGTGTTCAACAGATATTTACTGTGACCATTGCTGGAGGCAGAAGAGTGTAGAGGTGTCGGGTGTAGAGTGTAGAGGCAGAGTGTAGAGGTGGCTTGGCATTACTTATAGTTCATTACAACAGCTTTCAAGTAGCACTGAGCTTTCAGATTCAACACAAATGTGCACTTTCTTTTTTTGTTTTTTTGGTACCAGGGATTGAACCTGGGACCTTGCGCTTGTGAGGCCGGAGCCAAAATCACTGAGCTAAATCCCTGGCCCCATGTGCACTTACTCTTGATGAATTGCAAGGGATTTCTTTTCATCTTTTTAATCAAAATGTAGGGGGAAACTCACACTAATGTTTCTTTGAGCCATCTGAGATACTATTTTTAAAATTTCTGTGCTAATTTTCAATAATACTGCCTATAAGCATTAGGAGTTTCCGACAACATTTTGTGATATCAAAATTATGACTATTATTTTCCATTTTTGTTCTTTGTTGTTTAATTTTGGATTTAGATTCCTGGCTAGCATTTATCACCAGCATTTCTTAATAGGGACAGGCAGTTAGGTATGATTCAGCGTTTAAAGTTACCTTCACATAAAATTCATAGCTAATGAGAATAACGCTGGACCCTGGGTGTGAGTGTAGCCTAGTGACAGAGAGCTTGTCTAGTTTGTGCAAGGCTCTGAGTTCCATCTGTAGTGTGTGTGTGCGCACACACATGCAAACACACACACACAAATAAATAAAAAAGAAAAAGAATAATGCCAATGGGATAACTTTTCTGCATACGTGTATAAAAATGAAATTAATGCCTAATAGATTCTTCTTTCTTATTTAAACCACAGACCCAGATGTGGCCTTTTTGCCTCTAGAAATGACAGATTACATAGTCCTCGCAGACACCGATGACTCTGCCATCATACCCTGTCGCACAACAGATCCCAAGACTCCCGTAACCTTACACAACAGCCAGGGGCTGGTGCCAGCCTCCTACAACAGCAAACAGGGTTTTAATGGGACCTTCGACATGGGGCCCTACTTCTGCGAGGCCATTGTCCGAGGGAAGACGTTCCAGACAATGCTGTTTAATATTGTTACTTTGAAAGGTACTTGTACCCTCTCTCTCCTTCTTTAAATAAAAATAGCAAACTCATCGGATGCAGGCAGGGTTTTTAATTTAATCCTAGTCACTGGTCATAGAAGTTGGAATTCTGGTTTGGGGGTTGAGGACCCCACCTTTTCCATGCAATGCAGCTAACTCCTGTGGCTATAATAATACAAAGCCGAGACTCACTAAAGGCTAAAGCTTGCTTAAACATGTAAGTTTCATGTTTCATCAGTTGACTTCAAAATACTGTAAGGAATTTTTTCTTACATAAGCCTCTTACTATTTGATTCACACTCTTGATTACAGAGACCCTAACGGCAAACACACACCCCAGGGAGCTGGATGCCTAGATTAATTTTGGTACCTTAAGAATTAGGTGATTTCAGTTTTGAGCTGTAGTTGTGGACTGTTGATCCCAACCCTTTGACATAATGGTTAGCATGGATGGGGAAGTAGGACATGTTGTGGGTCTGGATGGGCAGAGCTTTAGGGAGCACTTTGTGAACGGGTGGCAGCAGCAAAGGTTGCCCTTTGACTTTCTGTGAGGGCTCATTCTGTACCAAGCACTGTGCTGGGTTCAGAAGGTGCTGGGACTGACTGAGTAACAGAGGGGTGGCGAAGAGAACTGAAGGGACTGGAGGTGACTACGTGAATAAAACATAAGTGAAGGTGCCTGCGAGTGAAAGAGTGCAGCACTCCCTGACCCCGTGCTTAGGAACATGGTGTTCTGTTGGACTGAAATTTGTTTTTATTATTGTTATTTGTATTTCTGTACTACAACTACAGGCCAAATTATGCATAACAACTCGAGATCAAGGCCTCTCTGATTTTCCAAATTTTGTCTCGATCAATCTGGTTTGCAGTACTTCTCAGAGTTGTTTGATTGTTTTTTGAGACAAGGTCTTGCTGTGTAGCCTGAGCTGGTTTGAATTTGGGGAGCTCCTGTCTCACATTATGCTTATTTATGCAGATGATGCTGGGACTATAGGAGTATGCACCACACCTGGGCCTCGGGGTGTTTTGTTTTCTTTATTGGTTATTTTTGAGGCAGGGACTACCTATGTAGTTTGGGCTGGCCTTATCTCAGGGTTTTCTTAAACCCAAATATTATGAGATCCTGGCTGTACTATGGATATTTAAGTCCTTTTATTTTTTAAAATAGCTGCACCACAGCTGGATCTTGAAATGGAAGCTCTGAAAACTGTGTATAAGTCCGGGGAAACTATCGAGGTCACCTGCGCTGTCTTTAACAATGAAGTGGTTGACCTTCAATGGAGTTACCCTGGAGTAGTGGTAGGTACCCTCAAGACATGGGTGGTGTGTGCCTGCAACACATGTGTTGGAGTTCTGATCAGTGACAGCACATCCCTGAGATTCTCCAGACCTCAACCTCCCATCTCTACCATTTTTCTTGCTTTTTTTTTTTTTTTTGATACCAGGTATGGAACTCAGGACCTTCTGCTTGCGAGGCAGGCGGTGGAACCACTGAGCCAAATCCCCAGCCCTCTATCATTTCTCATTTGTAGTAGGTAGGAAGTTTTTATCCCAAACCAAAACACATGCCATTTGGGCCAGAAAAATATAATCAAAATGCTGCTTGCTTGCTTTATTTATTTATTTGTTTATTTATATTTATGTTTTTGAGACAAGGTCTCACCATGTAGTCCAGGCTGATCTTGAACGCACAGAGATCTTCCTGCCTCAGCCTCAGAAGTGCTGGGATTACAGGCATGTGCTACCGTGCCCAGCCAAAGTACTGTTTTATACAGCACATTTTTTCCTGATCATACAAGCAATGTAGGTTTATCATGGAAATTTTGTAAAATACAGAGAAACAGAGGAAAAGCAACTGCCCAGAGCATCACACTGTTCAGATTTTAGGAAGATAAATCCTTTAAAAAGTTTTATACATAAATGTTTAATAATTCATAGATATTATTCTTTAAACAGTACTTCGCCGTACCCTTTTCCCTTCAGCAGTGTATTACATATGTCAGGTCATCAAATGTCTATTTATTTATTTATTTTTAATTTTTTTGTGGTACTGGAGATCGAACTCAAGACCTTGCACTTGCAAGGCAGGCACGGTGCCACTGAGCTAAATCCCCAGTCCTTATTTTTTAATTTTAAACAATTTCTTATCAATAGCGGGGATTGAACTCAGGGCCTTGGGTACAGTAGGCAAACCCTCTACCACTAAGCCACATCCTCAGTGCATTAGCCTCTTAAAATGTGATTTTCTTTTTTTTTTGGTATCGAGAATCGAACTCAGGTCCTTGCACTTGCGCAACAGGCAGCGAAACCACTGAGCTAAATCCCCGGCCCTGAAATGTGATTTTTCTAAGGAACTAGCTTTTTGTTTTTGAGTTTTAAACTTTACGTTTTAGAGCAGATTCAGGTTCACCACAAAACCAAGAGGTGCAGAGATTTCCCTGCAGCCTCCCCACACCCCCATCCCCACCTGTCCCACACCTCGCTGACACCTACTGGGCACCTCCTGGTCAGCCAAGTGTCCAGAGGCCCCAGGAGGGCTTGCTCTGAGGTGCCAGCTATTTAAAAGCCAATTTTCTTCCCCTGTGCTGTAGAAAGGCAAAGGCATCCTGAAGCTGCAGGAAATCAGATTTCCGACCATCAAGTTAGTGTACACTCTGACGGTCCCTGACGCCACAGTGAAAGATAGCGGCGACTATGAATGTATCGCTCGTCATGCCACCGAGGATGTCAAAGAAATGAAGAAAGTCACCATTTCCGTACATGGTACGTTCTGCTTTCTTGAGTATCAGTCTTCTGCCCTGCTTGGCGTCTGGAGGTGGTGATTGCTGTGTAATGTGCCTCTTCCCTGTGCAGAGAAAGGGTTTGTTGAGATCAGGCCTACTTTTGGCCACAAGGAAGCTGTCAACCTGCATGAAGTCAGACATTTTGTGGTGGACATACAGGCCTACCCACCTCCCCGGATAGCCTGGCTGAAGGACAACCTGACACTGATTGAAAACCTCACTGAGATCACCACTGATGTGGAAAAGATTCGGGAAATAAGGTAGAGAATGTGCTTCCCAAGTATGTCTTTTGCTTCTTCCTCCTCCTCTCCCTCCTTACCTCCTCTTTTTTTTTTTTTTTTTTTTACTGGGTATTGAACTCACGACGTTGCCCAGGCAAGGCAGGTGGTTGCTACATAGCGCTAACTGGCCTTGAACTAACAATCCTTCTGCCTTAGCCTCTGAAGTACTGGGATTACAAGTGTATGTCATCATGCCTGGTCCAAGTATGTCTTCTTAACACGTGTGTCCCTAGAAAGATGGAGCTTAGTGCCTATCTTACAAGCCAAACCAAAAGTCCACCTAGAAAATGTAGTAATCTGAGTTGAGACATGCTTGAAAATCAAGTACCTCTAACTGTAACATTACAGTGTGATGATGGGATGCTGGTAAATATTTAATGGTAAGGTAAGAAGAAATAAATATCCCTGTCCCCCAGTGAAAGACAGGTTTCTGGATCCAGCTGGGGGTGGAGGAAAGATGTTGAAATTGAACCCGCTTGGATTGAATATTTGAAAGTAGACATTTCTGGTGATTCCACTGGTGAGACAATTATCACATTGACTCACATGAATCAAAACATCATTGGTTAACTTTGCAACACATTTGTCCCAGTCAATGATTCTACAGGAAAAAAGGGTAGACCTTGGCTGTATTTGGTCAGGAAGGAGGTTTATGGTGAGTCATTTGGATCCTTGTCCTTTTCTTTCTTAAATTTTGAAAAAGGGTCTCTATAAGTCCCTAAATTGCTCAGGTTAGGCTCGAACTTGCAGTCATCCTGCCTCGGTATCCCAGAGTGCTGGGATTATAAGCATGCACTACCACACCTGGACCCCTGCTCTTTCCAGAGAGTGGTAGATTCTACGCTCTTATGTCTTAACTAGTTGTGGTGTTTTTGGTAAGGCACTGCCCAGCCTTGCGTTTCTCACCTGTAGTATAGGATTTATATTACCTCATGTTTTCAAGGCAAGGAATTGGGTGAGATGATATCTTGAGGTCTGTTGCAGTTGTGTGTGTGTGTGTGTGTGTGTATTTGTGTGTGTGTTGCTAAGGATCAAACCCAGGGCCTCTTGCACTGAGGCCCAGTGCCAGCCCCTCTCGAAGTTTCAAGCTGTGATTAGGATTCAGGAGTCAGAAGGTGCATTTTGAAAGGCCCAGCTAATTCAGCCAAATGCCCTCGTCAGAAATCACTCTAGGAAAACACAGCTCAGTCCTGTATTTTAAGCTGCAGTCAAGAGAAGAACAGAACCTTTGTCATCATTTCACTGAACTCCACGCTTTGAATGCTTATTTCTGAACTACATTCCATGCTGCAATTGAGAAACAGCATCTGAGAAAATGAATTAAACAAAAATTTTTTTTGTGTGGTGCTGGGGATTGATCCCAGGACTTTGTGGTGCATGCTGAGTGTGCGCTGTATCACTGAGCTACACCCCCAGCACAGAACATGGGATTTTAAGACCCCCACAGAGTGGTTATGGGACTCCCATTGGGAGTGGGCTCCCAATGTGGAAGGCAGAGCCCACAGGAAGGGCCACACAGGAGGGCAGCTGGCAAACCAAGAACTTTGCTGAAGCTGTGAAGCCGAAGTGGAACAGGGTGATCCTGGCTCAGCTAACACTCCAGATGAGACTGAGCATGATCTTCAGGCTATAATCCATAGCAGTGACGAATCAAGCTTGCCATCGGGTGGTTCTGGAAGGTTGCCTGTTACAGTGACTCAAGAATCCTTCAGCACATGTAATTTTTCCTTTAGCTCTTAATAATTGTGGGCCAGGAAACACAAGGATGAGCGTGGTGAATGGGTTACCAATTTCATGGAGCTTGAAACCAGGGGACCCACTCCTTTCTTGGGCGATCAAGTACAGACAGTGAGTGGCAGAGGCTCATTTGGGCATTGGCAGTCAGCTGTGTCCGAGGCGCTCTAAGGAATCCAGTGCTGAAGCACATCCATAGGTGTAACAGGAAAACCCTGTCCAGCCTACTCTTCGGTAGGCCCAGGCGCTGCAGCATTTGCCAAGTGCTTTTGGCCCTAAGCAGTGCTTTCCTACATGTAATCTCATTTAACAGATTCCCAGAATGACTGCTATGTGCACACTTACACCTTTCAATACAGAAGGAAACCAAGGCATGGAGAATTTCAATAATCTCCAAGTTCTTCATATTTTATGACCAGTGCTTTTCTTTAACCATTCTAGTTGCCTTTGCATATTGTGATTTTGGTGGTGGCTAGATAGACCAGGCCAGCCTTGAATTTGCTGTGTAGCCTGGGCTGAACTTGAGCTAGCAATCCTCCTGCTTCAGCCTCCTGAGTGCTGGGATTACAGGCATATACTGCTATGCCTGGTAATTGTGATGTTTTATGAAAGACAGTCTAGTGAGAAAATATTATGTATACATACAATGCCAATATCTTTGGGGGAAACTTTCTTTTATGAAAGTATGAAGAAGTTATTTGTTCTTTCTGAGTTGATAGAATCCCGTGCTTCAAAAACAAACACGAAGAGGTGGTGTTGTATGAAGCCACATTTGCCTACTCTTCCAATCTGTCCAGTTACCCCTCCACTGCACATGTTAGTTTCATTAGGTTTTTATGAAACCTTCCAGAGTTTCTTTAAGCAAATGTAGATGAGCACTAATGCTATATCCTGGTCTGCCCTCCCCACCATCAGGGACAGCATCTTCATTCTGTTCTCAAAGTGTTCCACTGTTTGGCTGAGTCATCCAAATCACCAAGTCACCCCATATTTGAGGGGCCACAATTTTTAGAGGGTAAAAATCAAGATTTTGTTTTTCATTTTGTGTTTTTGAGACAGGGCTTCACTAACTAGTCCAGGCCGACCTTGAACCCACTATGTAGTCTGGGCTGGCCCTGAACTTGGAGCGATCTTCCTTCCTCAGCCTCCTGAATGCTGGGATTACAGGTGTGCACCACCACACCTGGCTTTGAGAATCACATCTCCGATTCAGACATTTAGCATGCGGAATCTTGAGAATTCCAGAAAAGAGATGATACAGACAAGAAATTACAAAAATGAAATTTCAGCTGAAGACAGTAGTTGCTTAAATAACTGGAATTTAAGCAAGCTACTGCTGGTTGAAACCAAGCCTGTTTCTTTCAAGGTATCGAAGCAAACTGAAGCTGATCCGTGCCAAGGAAGAAGACAGTGGCTATTATACTATTGTGGTTCAAAATGAAGACGACGTGAAGAGCTACACTTTTGAACTGTTAACTCAAGGTATGCAAAGGCAGGGCCAGCTCAAGGAATGACTGTCCCCCAAAGAGCTTGGTACTTCTCTCTGAGGTTAGGGTGGGGAAAGAACACTTTAGAGAGGAAGTGGGGACCAAGATGTCACAGGTAGGGGTAGCTTTGTTGCACTTAGGAGTTCAGGTACAGGTTGAGCATCTCTAACTCTAACTCAAAAATCGAAAGTGCTCCAAAATATGAAACTTTCTGAATGCCGACATGATGACACAAACCACAATGCCTGTCGCACCTGACTGCTTATGTGAGCCAAAATTCCAAGTGTACAAAAATGTAGAAACTCACCTTCTAGTTACGTGTATAAGGTATCTGAGACATAATTAATTTCATGTTTAGACTTGGGTCCCATCCCTAGGGTACTTCATTGTCTAGATGCAAATATTCCCAAGTCGGGAAAGAATCTGAATCCAAAGCACTTCTGGTACAAACATTCTGGACAAGGGAGACTCAGCTTGTAAGTCTGGGTGGTTCTGGCTTACTCTGAAACACTCTGACTGGGAATTTGTAGGTGCTGACTGCTCTCTTAGCACCTGCTTCTCAGTGTAGTATTTTTTAGTTCAGATCATCTTCAGTTTTTCTGAGGAGCTCCCCTGGTAGGCTCTACACAGTGGTCCCTGTCAGAGTCGACTGATATCTAGGTTCAGCCCATGTCCATCAAGCTCCTCTGTGTGTGGAGTACATCTTAGGTGGGCTGTTTGGATCCTCATAAGATTTGTGATATAGGCATTAGCCATACTGACCACAGATTTTTAAAAATCCTTAAAACTTAGTAAAATCTCACATATGCACTTGGGTAAATGCTGCTTTAAGTTACACTCCTGCTAAATTCATTAGTGGAATTTTAAGCTCTAAGATAATTTGAAGAGCCTCTTTCCCTTTCAAGCAAGCCAAATGACCACAGACACTTTATAGTCCTCATTCCAGTTTTAGAACATCACAGGCCCAAGGCCCCAAACACTGAAACTGTGCACATGCTCTTAAGCAGTGTCTATGTCTAAGGTGGAGGGTACAGCGTGACTCAGACAGCTGGGCTCAGCCCCTTCTAGTGTGGTTCCAATGCCATGTGAACAGTTTCTGAGCTCACAGGTCATTTTGAAGCCCCAACAGTTCTGGGACATGAACTTCTCAGTGCTAACTTCTTCCACCTCTTGCAGTTCCCTCATCCATCTTGGACCTGGTTGATGACCACCATGGCTCTGCAGGGGGACAGACTGTGAGGTGCATGGCTGAAGGCGTTCCTCTTCCTGACATTGAGTGGATGATCTGCAGGGACATTAAGAGGTATGGATATAGGATATTCCCCATTGCTTTGTGCTCAGAATGTCTCTGACTCAACAGGAAGTACTGCAAATGCATTTTATTGCTTTGGCTGGCTCTGTTTTGTATTTGTGATTCTTTGTTCTAAGGCTCTGAGGAGAAGGCTGTCATCAGATCCTCAAAGGGTCTCTAATACAAAAAAAAGATGCATCTTAAGAACTATGGTCCAATCAGGATTTGTACTACCCTGCCCCATAGTTTTACCTCACATTTCTTCTTTGGTGAACTTTCCTGGCTAGACTGGTATGTGAACATAAATAGCACTCATGTGACTCCTTTCACCTTCACGCCCCTACTTACTGTTTGACAGAATTAACTACCACTCCTCCCTTCCTCCCCCCACTCCCTGGACCTTTTTAGGGGGGAGTACTGCAGATTGAAACCAGCCCCTTTGCACTGGGTTACGTCCTCAGCCCTTTTTTATTTTAAGATGGGGTCTTGCTAAGTTGCTCAGGCTGGGCTTGAACTTGGGATGTGCCATGGTGCCTGGCCCTCCTCCATCTTAAGTAGGCATATGAACTATGAGCTCACCCTTTTACCCATGGCCACTGACCGTGTTCAGACACCTTAATTGCTTTTCCCCCAACGCTGAGACTCCTAGTCCCACTCTTGTGAGGGATAAGGGGTGACTTGGATGCTGGCTGGAGTGCAAATCTAGGTCTTGGAACTCAGTTCTGAGGATTACCCAAGCTTAGTGGCATCTTAGGGCTCTACCAGTGTGTGTGTGGTGAGAAGGGAAAGCCAGGCCTTTTGGAAAGGGTGGGAAATTGGAATTATTAAATGTGCTTCAGGTTAAATTGCTCAATTTCATGGATTCAAGATTAGGGATCAGTAGAAATGTTTTATTGAACATGTTTACACCTGGCTCCTTCCCAGACAGTTAACTTTCAGTTGTCTGTGGGAAGGTTATTTCCTCTGGAGTGTGTGTTTTAATGTTAATACCCAGCTTATAGCACCCCCAGGTATATTCAAGATCAGAAGTGCAGACAAGATCACTGTCCTACTCACACCATGACTCCTAATAATTGGTTCCACTTTTGTGTTTCTTTTCTCTCTAGATGTAATAATGAAACGTCTTGGACAGTTTTGGCCAACAATGTCTCAAATATCATCATGGAGATACATCCCCAGGGCAGGAGTATTGTGGAGGGCCGAGTGACATTCGCCAAAGTGGAGGAGACCATTGCAGTTCGATGTGTGGCCAAGAATCTCCTTGGGTCTGGGAACCGAGAGCTGAAGCTGGTGGTTCCCAGTAAGTAGCTCAATAGTCAGGATGGCAGCAGGTCATCGGCTGAGCCCTGACTTCCTCACTCAGGTGGAGGGTGGAGCCCAGATCAGGTGGTGTAGGAATGAAGGCAAAAATTCAGATATAAAAGCACTAAAAGGCCTTCCTTGGGTATCAGGGCCTTGTTTTAGATTCCAAAGTGGCATCTTGCAGAGGTTCCTGACAAACAGATAAGTAGATGAGCCCTTTGCTTATCTACCAGCATAGCTGCTTCATCTCTTTAATCTTAGCATCTGTGTGTGGGGTGTCTCCTATCTCGCTGCTCTTTGCAACAGTGCAGACAGGTTGAATTCTTAAAAAAAAAAAAAAAGGATAAATGAAGGCAAAAGCAGTAGAAGCAGAATGCAACTTTTCAACCTACATTTATAATAAAACTTAGAAAGTAGAGATTTCTACACATATAGCAGTTCTCAATCTCATTTAGCAATGTTATCCATATTCAGATTCCATCTAAAGGTTATTCTTGAAGCATCTTTAGACAAAGGGTAGAGATCCCCTGTTGAGTTTTTTTTTTTGGTACCAGGGATCGAACTCAGGACCTTGTGCTTTTGAGGCAGGCACTGGCACCACTGAGCTAAATCCCCCACCCCATCCTCCCTCATTGAATTTTGCCCATTGCTCTTTCAAAGGAAGAGTTGATGTAGTTTCACGGGTGTAGATATTTGGGAGATAGCATTCTTCACCCCTAAAATGAGACAGACAGGCAGTGAGAGATTCCGACCAGGCACAACCACCAACTTCCTGTCTCCCTGAATACCTGAAAGAAATTCTCCACTGTGTCCCTCTCTTTGTCCTCTAGCCTTGCATTCTGAACTCACGGTGGCAGCTGCAGTCCTGGTGCTGTTGGTGATTGTGATCATCTCACTGATTGTCCTGGTTGTCATTTGGAAACAGGTAGGTATTTTCTCAAAGCACTGAAATATTTGAACCCAGTAAGAATAAGAACAGCAGCTTAGAACACTGCTGAGCATAGAGAAGGGTCTCAGTAATGACAGATGGGGTGAATGGTGTTGGACCCCCCTGTGTGCAGTCACTTTGTTTCTGCAGTGAAGCTGTGGTGCTTTTAGACAACTCACAAGTTACCTGTCCTGCTCATTTATAGAAACCGAGGTATGAAATTCGCTGGAGGGTCATTGAATCAATCAGCCCTGATGGACATGAATATATTTATGTGGACCCAATGCAACTGCCTTATGACTCCAGATGGGAATTTCCAAGAGATGGACTAGTGCTTGGTAAGCTCCTGTGGGGATGATCGTGCCAGACTCTGTTCTCACCCCTTGCTGTTTATAGGCCTTGGATGAAGTCAGGGTTCTGAGCTTTGCCTAGTAAGAACCAAACAATAAAAATTTGCTTGTAGACATGTACTTTCATCTTGAAAATTGTTAGCTGGGCTTGAGGGCGTACCTCAGTGGTAGAGTGCTTGCCCCACATATATAAGGCCCTGAGTTTGATTCCTGGCATTGAAAAAACAAACAAGAGTCAATTTTATCACTGCACTGGTTTTTAAAATCTCAGGTAGAGGCTTGGCAGAGATACTCACCAAAATGATTTTGCTTTGGAAATGGCATAAACTAGAAATGAAATGAATTTCTTTGACTCAAAAGAGATAGATGAGAAGTGAATGAGGAAAATTACAAAGCGTACTTTGATCCAGTTCATTCTGTGGGTGCCTAAAATACCTCCCCATACATAAGATATAAAAAGGTTGTAAAACTGTAGGTACAGTAAAAGGCAACTTGTCACAGATTTCAAATGTTTCAATTCTAGGGTGAGGGCTGGGGATTTAGTTCAGTGGTTCCAGTGCCTGCCTCACAAGCGAGAAGTCCTGAGTTCAATCCCTGGTACCAAAAAAAAATAGGTCTCAATTCTAGGGTGAGACTAAATATATGAAATCCAAAGGAATTCTGGTGGTTTTTGTTTGTTTTTAATCACATTCTGAATGAATAAAAACAAGACAAAGGTAAATGAAAATTAGAGCTAGAGATTGTGTCATAATGAATAATCCAGCCAAATTTTAATTATCCCATTGGTCTCATTTCAAAATACGGCAGTTTGGGTTTTAGAGAGCTACTTACATGAAAATCAAACAAGGTACCCTTCACTGCTCCCAATTTCAAATGCTTATACATAAGTTTACCTTATTATATTTTCACCACTGTTTTCCAAAAAAGAGATGAGGAGCTTAAGGAAGTTAAAAAGTAATAAAATATGAGGGAGAGAGGAAGAGCAAAAGCCCTATTATGGTTTATATTTAGATGTCCCCTCAAAGTTTCATGTGATTATAGGTGGGGCTTCTGAGAGGTGATTGGATCATGGGGACATGTTACACTTCGGTGGACTAATCTACCGATGAGTTTATAGCTAAATGTGATTTGGGATGTGAAGCCTGGTCAGAGGAGGTGGGTCACTGGGGGGTGTGCCCTAAAGGGCCTATCTCCCTTTCTCCTCCCTTGATTGCTCTCTGCTTCATGCCCGCCATGCAATGAGCAATTCTCCTATGCCATGGCTCTGTGCCATGCCCCTCTGCCATGCCTCCCTGCCTTGGAGCCAGCTATGTAGTAAAACTTGTACAAACTGTAACCCAAAATAAACTTCTCCGTTTGGTTGTGGGTATCAGGTATTGTGTCCCAGTGATGAGGAAAGTATCTAAGTCAGATTTTGGTACCAGAGAAGTGGGGTCATTGCTGTGATTACCTGACCATGTGGTTCAGAAGCCTTTGGAACTGGTTCTCAGGAGGAGTTTGGAAAGGTTTGGGAACATAGGCTGGAGAAGCAATTGTAGAATGCTGTGAGCAATCCTTGTTGGGAGACTATAGTCAAGCTCAGAAGACCAGAACATTGACAGTAATACAGCTGGTAAAGACCAGGCTCAAGAGGTTTCAGTTGGCAAGAAGGACTCCATGGCAGTTGAACTCCAGGGAATGTATGTTATGCTCTAGCAGAAACTTTATCTACATTTTGCTCATGTCCAGAGATTTTGCAGGAGACTGAGATTAAGAGCAGCAGACTAATTAACCTGGCAGAGGAAATTTCATGGCAGCCCAACATTCAGGCTGTGGCTTGGGTACTATTGGGAGCATTTAGCTAGCTCTACATTGTAAACCAAGAGCAAATGGCCCAGCTGAATATGTTACAAAGTTTTGAATTTGGCCAGAAAGGAAGGGCCAGTAAAGTTGGAATCTGGAAAGATGGAGTAGAGGAGAGCTTGGTTGGTGAAAACATTAAAAAGAAGCCAAGTATTTTACAATGGGACCATAGAAAAGACGGCTTGATGACATCACAGGGACCAACAGGACCTTCCTCTTCAAAGGCTCAAAGTTGCCAAAATGAATGACTTCGTTTTAAGAAGAGAGCCCTAGAGCACTGAGCTAAAAAAAGGAGAAGGCAATTTAGGGAATTGATTCCCCTGGATTCAGTTCACCATGCTCAACCATCCAGGCACTGAGGACTCTGTTGCCACCTGCAGATGCAAAAGGATCTGGCTACTGCTCAAGCTGATGGCAGACCTTGGCATTTTCCACCTGGTGCTGGTTTTATGAGTATGCAGAGAATGCAAGAACTGTGGAGTCACAGAGGCTTCCACCCAGATTTCAGAAGGTCTGGGAGGCCAGGCATTGAATTTGTGACAGGACAGTGTATGAAGCAGTGAGAGTGGAACTGAAAGTGCAGTGGAAACTTCATGAAGTTGGAGAAGCCAGAAACATGGAACATCTGAGGAAAGTCACAAGGAGGAAGCAAAGCCTACCCAGAAGAGAAGCCATGAGGGCTACTATGAGGGCAATGCCAAGGCTGTCCAAGCAGTTAGGAGCTTATATCTTGCCCTGGGTGCTGGACACAAAGCTACAGGATGTAGCCTTTCATGAGTAAGGTTTAATTTTTTGAAAAGGAGCACAAGGTGGGTGTCTTTAACACCAATGTTTATTTTTAGGAGTATTTCTATTATTTATTTTAATTTTATGAATTTTATTGTGTTTAGTAAACTTTTACAATGTGACAACATGTTCATCAGTGTTGGTTTTCAAAGATATTACACATTTTCATGTGTAAATTGTAATGAGCTTTTAGAAAGAATGTTATAGAGACTGCCAATTAAAAGTCCAAATGTATTTCTTTTGATGTATTATTTAATCAGTTATAATTAAGGCTGGGAACATTAAAATCTTGTTAAAATTATTAGCAGACAAGCATGACTTCAATAGTGGTCCATGTTATATCTACTGGAGGAATTGTGCAGAAGGAATTGTAATTTTACTTCCCCAAAACTGCAAACAGACTACAGAAAAAAATAAGAAAGAAAATTTCCTAGATAAGGAAAAGAGTTGATGGAAAATCTTTTTAGCTGGAGTCAGATATTGGACCAATTGAACTATATCAAGGTAGAGATCTTGAATGTTACAACTGGAATGTTAAGGTCAATGATAGTTAGTAAATTTGAGCTACTAAATTCCTAAACTACAGGGGCTTCCTGAATCTAAGCACAGAAAGAGCAGCAATGGGGTAGGAGGGTAGCTCAAAGGCAGAGCACTTATCTAGCATGTACAAGGCCCTGGGTTTGGTCCCTAACACACACACACACACACACACACACACACACACACACACACACACAGAGATCATTTCAAAATCAGGGCATCGAGTGAAATTGCAATTTACATGATGTGATGCAGCCCAAGATCCCCCCCCCCACTGTTTTGTTATTTATTGCTACATAACAGTTGCCCCCAAATTTAATGACTTAAGACATTGAGGAATTTATTGCTTATAATTCTATAAGTGACTGCACCTAGCCAAATAATTCTTCCACACCATAGGCTGTTGGCCAGGGATTATCTGAGGGTTCAAGTGAGTTGGAAATTTCAAAATGACCACTCACATGTCTGATCCCCCACGGGTCTCACTGGGAAGCTAGACCTAGTTGAGGTGCTGAAATGACCAAATATCCCCCCATCCCCCACCTCTCTGTCTCAGGGCCACCTCCTCTATGATTGACCTTTCTTCTTGGCTTTCCTATGACTTCTCTACATGGCCTCCTCTAGATTTCTTACATGATATCTCAGGCTACCAAAAGTGAAAAACATTCTAGCCAGACGTGGTGGTGCACACCTGTAATCCCAGCACTCGAGAGGCTGAGGCAGGAGTATCACCTTGAGTTTGAGGCCAGCCTGGGGTACATAGTGAGTTCAAGGCCAGCCTGACCTACATGGTGAGACCTTGTCTGAAAAAAAAAGAAAGAAAAAAGAACCTTCTAACCATTCTTAACTACCAGGAAAATAAAATATCAATAAAATAAAGTATTAAATTAAAATATTTATTTATTTTTTTAATAAACATTTTTTACAAGATCTAAAAAATAACTAAATAAATTCCTATATAACTTCAATGAAAATAAAAATAAAACTCTACAACCAAAATAGTCTTACTTCAATTATGAGACCTAAGGCAGTCTTCACACTGTAAAAGTAGCATGTTCCATATGCAAGTGTCACTTACAGTCATAGCACAGGTGTTTTGTTTTCCTGCCTTTTTTTTATAGGACATACTTAACATCTCGCTGGTCTTGCTATTGTGTTAGGAGGTTCTTGAGATGTTTTACCTGTCTGTTCACTGGTCTGCTGTAGAATTCTTTTGTGGAGTTCTTTGGGCAGATACATATTGTTCTCTCTGTTGTAATTGATCTTTTATCAATTCCAGTCCCAATTCATCCATTTACAAACAATTTCCAACATTGAATTTCAGTGTTTGCATTCTGTCTAATAGGTTTCACCCCTGGAAAGAACCTAATAACATTTTCCTGCCTACTTCTAACATGACCATTTTGTAGCATTTGGACTAATCAAATGTTTATTTACATTATTGTTTTCTTTCTCATCTGAATCAAGGTCTTCATTCTCTACTTCTCTGTCATTCCTTGTTCTGTCTCACTGTTACAACTTCTTTGGTTTATATGATCCATGTCATAAAAATAACCTGTAAAGCAGTTTGCATCTTTGTCCCACATAGTAACTTTGTCTCCCAGGAAGTTGACTATGGGCTTTGCAGACCTGCCTTCAAAATCCTGTTACAAGCCAGGTGCAGAGGGGCACAGGCCTATAATCTCAGCTATTTGGGAGGATGAGGCAAGAGATTTGCAAGTTCAAGGCCAGCCTAGGCAATTTAGTGAGACTCTATCTCAAAATAAAAAGGGTTGGAGATGTCGCTCAGTGGTTAGGATGAGAGAGGGAAGAGAGTCTCTGGCCTTAAAAAGATCTGCAAGACCAATAGTTTACTTCCTCTAACATTCTGCCCCTAACCTCCTTCATTTTGACAAAAGTACCCTTGGAGTGAGACACCATGTGCAATTCTGTAAAGAAGACAATCTTGTAGATAGAGACAGACCCAGCTAGAGCACTTTTTTTTTTAGCCAGCAATGAGCTCAGCCCCAGGGTTTTTCTTGAGTGCTCCTTGGGATCAATGAAATTTGGAATGCTGAAGTATTTCCAGTGGTTAAAGATTTATTGATGCAGAGGATCCCTCTGTTTGCTTGTGGCAAACAGAAGGGTAAAGAACCAGGGGGCTTGGGTGGGAGCCATGGGTACAAGTGGAGAGGATTCTGGGGCCTGGGTAGCACTGAGCTGGTAACCAGAGTGTTCATAGCAGGCCTGCACTCTCTTCTCTCCTGCTGTGTTTTCCTTTCTGTCACCAATGTTATTTGACAAAAGCAATTACACTAATTTCCTTCCCTGTGGGATCAATTCTTTTTCTGACATGATGGCTGGGATGAATAATTAGGCCTACTCCATACAGGAAAAACACCCACCCAGCTGTACACCGGGCGTGCTAGTCTGAAAGCTGCACTGACGTTGGAGCTGGGAGCTGGCATGTGTTGATGGCTCTGTTTGCCCACAGGTCGCATCCTGGGATCTGGTGCCTTTGGGAAAGTGGTGGAGGGAACAGCATACGGGCTAAGCCGCTCCCAGCCTGTTATGAAGGTGGCTGTGAAGATGCTCAAACGTAAGCTCTGTCTGTGGAGGGTGCTTTGAATGGGGAGACACTAAGTGAACTGGTCAGAATCATGAAATGCAAAGCTTTTAAACAGCAAATTTAAGATGAGATCCTGACTCTTTTGACTCTAGGTCTTATGTACGTTTAGACCTTTTTGTCAGTTAGGTGTATTTTGATTCCTCTTGTCACTCATTCATACATTGGAAAATCAGGAGTTATCTCTAATGACTGACCTCTTTTTACCCTGAAGAGTAGGAACTACTCATTAGAGTCTATGTAGACTGAATGGACCATCTGCTCCTCTTTTAGACTCGTGGTAAATAAAATGATATCAAATCACAGGATTAGCCACAGTGCCAGCTTTTGTGGGGAACAAGAAGTAGACAGCTCAGTTGCACTGATACATGATTTATTTCTTCAACAGCCACAGCCAGATCCAGTGAAAAACAAGCTCTCATGTCTGAACTGAAGATAATGACTCACCTGGGACCACATTTAAACATTGTGAACTTGCTGGGAGCCTGCACCAAGTCAGGTAGGCTCCCTGACCTGGGAGGGAGGCTTTGAACTGAACACTTTGGCTGTGAAAACTGTTGAACCAGGCTCAGATCTGCCCTCTTCATGCCCAGACACACCAAGAAATATAAATCTCCAGCAGAGTCCACTGGCCCAACTGAACTGATGGAAGATTATTGTTTTTGAGCAACATCGCTTGCAAGTCCAAATGTAACAATTTGTAGAGCTGGGCATAGGTGGCACATGCCTGTAACCCCAGCACTCTGGGAGGCTGAGGCTGGAGGATCACAAATTTCACCCAAGCCTGGGCAACTTAGTGAGATCTTGTCTCAAAAATCTAGTTAAAAAAAATTCATGACTTTGTGTTCTTCATTTTCATACCCATCTTCTAACTGATTTTGGTTCTCACAGGCCCCATTTACATCATCACTGAATACTGCTTCTATGGAGATTTGGTCAACTATTTGCATAAGAATAGGGATAGCTTCCTGAGTCAGCACCCGGAGAAGCCTAAGAAAGAATTGGACATCTTTGGATTGAACCCTGCAGATGAAAGCACAAGGAGGTGAGTGTGAAGAATATGTTATTTTATGAGCCTCACAAATAGAGAGGATCCATGTCCTGATAGATTCCACGTCTGCAGATTCAGTACTTTAGGTAGCAGACAGAGTCCAGCTAGCCTGCTGGGTCTTCATGGCAGTGCCGATGCTGCAGGTGGTTGGGAACAGGACATCATGTGGCCTTGCTGTTAGGTTCAGTCATCCTGTATAACATACTTAGGAAGTGTAAGTAAGATGTAGGTCCACCTTGTAAGAGATTGTCTGAGGATCTCTAAGCTAGGGCTACTTGTCCTTGCTGAACATGGGCTAGTAAATCAAGACGGTGTTAGTAAATCAAGACGGTGTTAGTAAATCAAGCCAGTGTTAGTAGTCCACCCACAGAAGGCTATCTATAGAGATCTTTGTGGATGTGAAGTTCTGGAAGGTCAGAAAGTACAATGAAGGGCTGGGGATTTAACTCAGTGGCTCCACGCCTGCCTCACAAGGACAAGGTCCTGAGTTCGATCTTTGGTACTGGGGTGGGGGGAGAAAGTACAATGAATTGGTATAAATTACTTAATGGACATTAAATGGGTGCTAAATTTATTGAGTAGAAGGAATTGGGTGCCTGGCCACCTGACCACAGTGGTTTAGGTTCATGGCTTATGAACTGAGAAACAGAAGAAGAATAATGACAATGTCAAGAATTTTTCAAATTTTAAATGTAATAGACATAACATTTTCTAAGTTGTTGGGAACATATTCCCCTGCCTTACATGTGGCTCTTCAGGATATCTGTGTCCTTGATAAAGGTGTGTAGAGGAATGGGATTGAGCACAGATAAGAAAAAATATGTAAGAAGAATCATAGGAGCTGACATTTGTGGAGCCCAAATATTCTCATAGCATTTCCCATCTTTGTAGATGGGGTTCATGCTACATCTTCCTAGGATCGAGTTTGAGAAGACCGGTGATTTGTGTGGTTGTGTGATTAATGCTCCCTGCCTCAGCCTCCCCATGTGAGGGGTGCACAGTGGTTTTGCTTTTGCTCATCCTTTAGCCCCTGTGCCTGCCTCAGTACCTGGTACACTGTGGGTACCCATACGATCACCTGCTGAGTCACCTACTCAGTGACCACTCCAGAGGTGCAACCTGGGTAAAATTTCCTTGTCTGTTTTTACAGCTATGTGATTTTATCTTTTGAAAACAATGGTGACTATATGGACATGAAGCAAGCTGATGCCACACAGTACGTCCCCATGCTAGAAAGGAAGGAGGTTTCTAAATATTCGGATATCCAGAGATCGCTCTATGATCGTCCTGTCTCATATAAGAAGAAATCTATGCTAGGTAAAAGTGTCTGTACTCACTCTGGGCATTGTGATCTTCCAGTGGTTTAATATGATACTGAAAACACTCTGAGGAAGGTGAACAGGGATGATAAGTAGACCTGCCAGGCCACATGGTCTCTAAATGCAGGGCTACTCACCCTGGTCTGTGACACGTTGTTATAAGTTTGTGCCCTGTGAATTAAAAAAAAATAAAGACAGACTTAATGTAGTGAATTTCTCAAACTTTAAATATAATCACTTCAAGGAATAATTTATTCTTTGATACAGTGGGCTTCCTTTTTTGTTAACATGTTTTTAAAACAATATTTTAACATTTATTTCTTTTTCTATGTTGGGATCAAACCCAGGTCTTTGCATGTGATCGGCTAATGCTCTATTAAACGCCATTAAATTGCCTCCAGAGTTCCACTCTCTCTTCCTTTAAATGAAAGCATGGTGACAATTATTTTTAATGCCTTTACTTGGAAAAAAAATTAAAAGTTGAAAATCTTACTTTGTTTCCTCATAATGTGTTTTTTTTTCTTACGTTGTAAGATTTTGATATCTATGAGTTCATTAACCCTTGGTTTTAGTTTCTAACATCTAATTTGTGGTAGAAGCTGAAGAGTAGACAACTGGAGGTTATATTTTCTTTCAGGTGTTTCTGTTGACTGTTGTTAGAAGGCAGACCCATCTGTTTTCAAAACAGAAGTGTATGTGGTAGGTTGACGTGATTTATAAATTCCAGGGTGCCTGGCTGATGTCACACCACATGGGGCACCTCCCATCTGCTCCAGGGTGGCCCCTGGCCCTGGGCTAACCACAGACTTGGAGTAGGGTGGCGGCTGGATGGGTCTGCCTCAGTTTTTCTTGTGATCTTATCTTTTGGGTCCTGAGCCCTCCTGTTGTTTGATGCAAAAGTGTTGAGTTGCCGTGGGAATTGTTTTGAGAATCACTGATGCACTCTGAATATTTGCAGGGTTCTTAAGTGAAAGGTACAATCCATTAAAAAAAAAAAAAAGAATGTGCTTGTTTGGTAAAGCTCAGTACACAATAATATTTTCCATTTTCTTCACTTTTAAGTTCCATTCATTTCTCACTGCCAAATGGGTGAACTTCCAAGCGCTTTTTAAAGATGAGCCAGTCAGTTATCGGAACCAGTGCTTCCTCTTCCCTCCCACATTGTTAAAAATAGTGTATGTTGCTTCCCAGGCTGAGCTGGTGAACTTGGCACCAGGTATCGGGGGACCTGAGTCATGCTTAGGCCCAGGCCCTGTTGGCAGGTAGACCATGGTTTTCTGGCCTGCCTGTAGCTGACTGAAAAATATGAATGGCTGGAACCTCTCTTCATGGGCCTGAACATTCTCAAAAAGGACTGGGAACTGCTGGCCTAGATTGCCTTCTTCCTCGAAAACTCTGAGACCCTTCCAGATGGGATGAACTGGGGAAAGTGGACAAATTACAAACAAAGGGAAGTCAGTGGCCCTGATCTTTAAGATTGCTTCCTTGTCTGAGGGGTAGTTGACTCAACTGACAAATTATAAATCAGGTACTATGAAGGTAGCTCTAAAAAGAAAATAAAGGTGGGCAAGACGGTGCACAGCTATAATCCCAGCACTTGGAAAGCTGAAGCAGGAAGATTTCCATTAATTTGAGGCCAGCCTGGGTTACATAGTGGGTTCAAGGCCAACCTGAACTACGTAGCAAGCCTCTGTCTCAAATGAATGAATAAATAAATAAACAAACAACCAAACAAATAAACTCACCCACCCAGAAACTACTTTTTCAGAGTTCTCATGTGTATTTGTTATGGAAGATTTTAGTGTGTATGTGTATGTGAATTTTATTTATTTATTTATTTATTTATTATTTATTTTTGGTACCAGGGATTGAACTCGGGACCTTGCACTTGTTAGGCAGGTGGCAGCACCACTGAGCTAAATCCCTGGCCCTGTATGTGAATTTTAAAGATGGCTATGGTGATTGCTAATTAAAGTTGAAAAAAGAAATCTGGGAGACAAATATACAAACAAAAAAATATATGTGAGAATCCATTAGAGAGATCACATTAGATTGTGTATGTGTACACACAGACACACAATCACACACACATATAAACCAGTGTGTTGCCACATGCAGGGTAAATATTCCTCATCTAAAATGTTTGAGACCCGAAATGTTCTGGATTTTTTCAGATTCTGGAGTATTCACGAGTAGATAATGAACTGTCTTGGGGATAGGCTCCAAGTCTAAAAACAAAATTCACTGATACTGCATGTGAACTTCATACATACAGCCTGTCGGTAGTTTATACAATATTTTTAGTGCACCTATATGATGGTACCTCAGTTCACAAACTTAATTTGTTCTACAATTTTGGAAAAGATGGCCATGTTTGTGTTTGTATGGGAAAGCTCACCACGGTCGGGTTTGTCACCAATGCAGAATTTCTAAAGAAAAACAAAAATTTTGCCAAATATTTCTGTTTGTGAATCAAACTGTTTGCAAACATGTGCTCTTGACCTGAAGCACCACTGTATATTGACTGACATGAGGTCAGGTGTGGAATTTTCCACTTGTGGTGTCGTGTCAGTACATACTGAGCTTTGGATTTTGGAGGATTTTAGGTTTTGGATTTTTTGGTTTGGTTAGGAATTCTCAATTTGTATACATTGCTTTTTTTTTGTTTTTAGAGGCAGGATCTCCCCATGGGCTTGAATTCATTATGTAGTCCAGACTGGCCTCAAACTCTCAGCAGTCCTCCTGCCTCAGCCCCCCAAATGCTGGGATTACAGGCATACACTACTAAGCCTGGTTTATATATTACTTTTTAAAGAAAAGATCTCAGGATTTATTTATTTGCAGTGCTGGGATTGAACCATGGGCCTCAAGCATGCTAGGCAAATGCTGCTCCCTGAGCTCCACTCTCAGCCCCCCTGGCATAGTTCAGCTGTCTACCAGGGAGGTCCAGAAACTGTAAGAAGCGCCTCTGGCTGTGTTCTTTGGCCTGTCCTCAGCAAGCTGGGGTCTTGGGGCAGATGAACTGTCATACTGTCCACCAGCCCAACACATTTCATTCCTCTTCTGCAGATTCAGAAGTCAAAAACCTCCTCTCGGATGATAACTCTGAAGGCCTTACTTTGTTGGATTTGTTGAGCTTTACCTATCAAGTTGCCCGAGGAATGGAATTTTTGGCATCAAAAAACGTAAGTTCAAGGAACAGAGACCTCTTTGGACAGGGCCACAGATTTCTGAGCCAGGAGGAGACACTAGGAGGGAGATCTTGGAGCAGTGACAGCTTCTCCTTCACCGACCTTCCTGCCTTTTCCCTGAGTAGGGATGGGAGCCCAGCATCATCAGGTGTCTGCATTGCTCCAGATCTTTCTGTGTGTTGGGGTGTGAGGTGGGGTGAGCTCTTGAGCCCTTCCTGAGGTGCAGGCTGGGCAGCTCCAGGTGCCACCAGGGAGCAGCCAATCTTGCAGGCTTGCTGCTTTCTAGTCACAGGTAGATTGACTTTGAAGTTGTTTTCTTGCTTTTTCATGTAGTGTGTCCACCGCGACCTGGCTGCTCGCAATGTCCTCCTGGCGCAAGGGAAAATCGTGAAGATCTGTGACTTTGGCTTGGCTCGAGACATCATGCATGATTCGAACTATGTGTCAAAAGGCAGTGTATGTACCTTTCTCCTCATCTGGTTCGCTCACCCTCCCTCCCTTTAACTTTTCAAGTTGTGTTGCTTCTTGGCATTCGCTGCCCATCTTTTTAACATGGAGCCCACAAGATTTCTGAGTGGGCTTCATGGGGGTCAGTAGGAAAAGCTTAGGCTCTGCACAGATGGCTGGAGCATACATAGCCACTTCACCCCATACTAGGGTTGGGTTTGGGGCCAATTCCTGGTCCATGTCATTCCTTAGTGTCCTGGTCTATAGCAGGGAGGAGTAGCAGTGCCTATCTCCTGAGCTGCTGTGGGGGATTAAATAAGGGAATTCATGTAGAGTGCTTAGAACAGTGCCTGGAAAATAGCAGCACTCAGTAATTGTTAGCTATTAATAGGTGAGTTGTGGGTATGCATGTACAAGCGTGCATCTCCAAGGGGTGTGACTAGTTTTTAAGGTTTTATCATATTTTTGTAGGGTAAATATGACCAGTAGAATGTTAAGGACACTTGCATTAATGCATCTCAGAGGTCCAGTTTCCTTAAAGACAGCCTTTGTACTGTTTATCAGACCTATCCTCTCCATTCCTGCCTTGTAAGCAGATGAAGTAGGTTAGGATGCATCTGCAACCTGAAAGTATAAGTCCAAAGCACTCTATGCAGGGGTTGTGAGATGGCTCTTGGGGGTTCCTGCATCCACCCAGTGAAGGGCATGGGCCTGTGTCCATGCTCTGCGTGGCCATGGTCTGAGCCATGCTGCTTCCCAGGCACCTTCAACAAATCACTGAATTTTTTGGATGGAGCTGATTTCTCACCTGTTTGTAGAAAGCTGTGACTCTCTCCAGCAATCTTGGAGTGGGGAAGGATGCTAAGGAGACTACTTAATGTATCTGCTTCACTTTAGTATTTTCACCAAAGTTTAGACCAGCTTCACAAAAGAGGTTCTAGTGGTAGGAAATTGCTACTTATTTCTTAAAGTCCAGAAGCTATAATTGCCTCACAGGTCACGGATCTATTCTTAATTTTATTATTGGAATATCTGAAAAGAGGGGACAGATTTGTTTAGGGCTTAGTTATACTTCACAGGTAACAATTAAGTATTAAGTGGTTTGAGCTATTATTCCTTCGGAAGAGCTAAGAAACAGCCTTAACTATTCATCATTTATAAATATTAAGAATCTACTGAGTACCTATGCCTGTAATCCCAGGACTCTGGGAGGCTGAGGCAGGAGGTTCACAAGTTTGAGCCCAGCCTGTACAATTTAGCAACTTAGCGAGACCCTGTCTAAAAATAAAAAATAAAATAGGGAGTGGACATGTAGCTCATTGCCAAGGGCCCGAGTTCAATCTCAGCACTGGAAAAAAAAAAAAAAGAACAACTAGGAGCTCAAAGTATAGCGGTGAACAAAATGCATACAAAATACATTCTATGGAACAAGATCATTAGTGCAAGTTATTCTTAGCTGAGGGCAGACTCTTCCCATTTCCACTGCTGCAGGTCATCCTTGTATGGCTGGAAGCTAATTTCCTTCCTCCTTCCCTGCAGACCTTCTTGCCCGTGAAGTGGATGGCTCCTGAGAGCATCTTCGACAACCTCTACACCACCCTAAGTGACGTCTGGTCTTACGGCATTCTGCTCTGGGAGATCTTTTCTCTTGGTATGGGCCTGGCCTCTCTGCTTCTTTGGGCAGTCCTGGAACAGACTGGAAGGGATGTATTTATCCAGCTCAGGATGTGAGCTCTGTTGAGCTGTGTGCTGTGTGATCAGGCAAGCTGCAGCCACTTTACCCCATCCGTTGGCCTTTGCCGTATCTGCTGCAGGCCCATGCAGACTGAGAGGGGGTGTTGGAGGCTGCATCCCCATACCAGGCCTCTGCATGTCTCCTCTGGGCCATCCCTGAATGATTCCCCAAGGAATCACCTGGCTGCCATTTCATTTTGGCCTTTGGGTTAAATGGTTCCCCACCTCGTGAGGATGGATGATAGCAGCATGGTGAGGGAAAGGACTGTGACTCCCCTTTCTGGTCATCATTTTGGAGGAGAGAAACCTTTCCTGAGAAGGGTGAGGCAGGACCCTGACCTTTATGGTTCCAGTAGGGAGAGAAGATTTGCACTCTTAGAAGTAAACCATGTAGTGCTGACTTAAAATTGCAGTGCAAGTCCAGAGGCAGGAGAAAGGAGACCTGATGAGCTTTGGAAGTTGTCAGAGAGGAAATTCAACATGACCTGCCTTTGGGTATAAAAATGTGAACCATTTTGTAAATGCATCTGTTATCTTGATATGAAAGTAAAGTATGTGTACTTTCCCTAGTCCCCTCTGTCTCTCCTACTTCTCTCTCCCTGGAGGATCACCATGCATCATCCTAGTCTAAGGCTTATCAGGTCTCATACTCCTGCAAAACAGAATTTCTAGACAATTCAAGCCCCAACTTTGACTTTTGGTGTAATCACTTGAACATTACTGGGGAGAATGACTTTCCTACCCTCAATTCAAAATTCCTCCTTGCTTTTCTAGCTTGCTTGTATATCTATGTAAATCCAATAGTCAGAAACACTGAAAAACATTTTAGTGCTTTTTTCTAAAGATGCAAAATTTTTACATCAGATATTTAGACTTGACCAGGTCTTTGAGGTCAAAGAAAGGATAACAATTTCCCTGAAAGAACCAAGACATCAGGACTTCCAGATTGCAGACATTCCCTAACATGCTCTGGCACCCTGAGTGTCTCAACAGTGTGTGGTGCCTTTATCATGACTCTTCTTTGCTCTTAGGTGGCACACCCTACCCTGGCATGATGGTGGATTCTACTTTCTACAACAAGATCAAGAGTGGGTACCGGATGGCCAAGCCTGACCATGCCACCAGTGAAGTGTGAGCTTCCTACCCTCCCATGGGCCCATGTCCCTGCCCTGTGGGTCTGTGGGGTGGGACGCCTTCGGATCTCCTTGTGCCCACTCTGAGCTCTGTGCCTTTCTAGCTATGACATCATGATGCAGTGCTGGAACAGCGAGCCAGAGAAGAGACCCTCCTTTTACCACCTGAGTGAGATTGTGGAGAGCCTGCTGCCAGGACAATACAAAAAGGTTTGTCTGGGCTTCTTACAGCAGTGGGCAAAGGGAAGAGAGCTGGTAGTTATGCCAAGGAGCAGTGTTATTCAACATATTTGAAAGGAGCATTTCAAAGCAGGATACAGATTGTGTGATCCTGCGGCTGGGGCTCACGGTATGCTCCATGGGTTCCTGGTAACAACGATGAATGAAAACCCTCTCCTTCCTGAGGGGCTCTGCTTTCATCTTAGGTGTGTGACACCTGTAAACACTTTATCCTTCAGATGTGTGAGTATCTGTTGTGCATTTAGAAGTCATAGGATATCCACAATGATTACATCGCTAATTTGAATTCATTTAAAGCCATGTGAAATTGGGTTTTACCTGCTGTCCAGAAGGGACAGCCTCAGCTGTTATCTGTGCCTCCAGCTGGTTTTCTGTGGCATAGGAAACATTGTTCAAAGGAACAAATATAATTTCATGGAGCCAGGCAGGAGATGGAAATGAACAAAATAACTTTCTGCCGAAGCCTTAGGAAGGAAACTGAGGAGAACTTGTATAATAAATCCTGTCTCTTAGACTCAGATTAGCCACTGTGTGGGCTTTTCATCCTACTTCTCCTCTTCTCCAGGAAGAGAGGAGCAGCAGCAGCATCAGGAGGTTGCACTGGAACCTCGTGGAAGTTGAGCTAAAAGTTAAATACTATAGTTTGTCCTTTGTTGATGATCTTAGTGACCCCTGTGACTCTCCTAAGTGCAGCAGGGAGGAGCAGAAAGAAATTAACCTTAGGTTGGTCTGTAGTGCTCTGATTGGTGGAGATGTGTTGGTGGGCAGAGATTGAAACTGTTGTTGAATATAGAGTTTTTGTATCGAAGATTGGACTTTCCTGACATTTAGGGATCAGAAACAGGTTGGGAATTATGTTCTCACTGAAGTCTTCACCCCCTCCTATGGGGACCTGTGAGAGCCCGGAAGACTCCATATGATGGGGCCAGAAGGCTCAATGCTAGTGGGGAGGGCAGGCACATGGTTAAAACTACTGACTTGGAAAAGGGCCTCTTGGTATCTGAAGACCTACTGGCAGATCTCCTTCTTTCATCCCCACCTCTAGGCAAGGTTGACACAGGACTCTTTCAGTTGTCTAAACCCTACCTGTCTATGAGGTCCTTTGGAAACACAGTTATGTCATTGTGATTTCTGTTTTGAAGTTTTTTTGTTTGACTTTTTGAGACAGGATCTCCCTATGTAATTCAGACTGGTCTTGAACTCACTATGTAGCCCAGACTGCCTTGAACTTGCAGTGATCCTCCTGCCTCAGCTTCCTGAGTGCTGGGTTTATAGGCTGGCACCACCATGCACGGCTTCCTCGTGATTTCTGAATGTCTGTGCTTGTTTATGTATTTATTTATTTTTGGTACCAGGGATTGAACTCGGGACCTTGCACTTTCGAGGCAGGCGGCAGCACCACCGAGCTAAATCCTCGGCCCCTGTCTGTGTTTATTTTTATAGCCCAGTCAATAACATTTGATTAAATATGTTACATGAATGCTTACAGAGTTATGAGAAAATCCACTTGGACTTCCTGAAGAGTGACCATCCTGCTGTGGCCCGCATGCGCGTGGACTCAGACAACACATATATTGGTGTCATCTACAAAAATGAGGAAGACAAGCTGAAAGACTGGGAGGGTGGCCTGGATGAGCAGAGACTGAGCGCTGACAGTGGCTATATCATCCCGCTGCCCGACATCGATCCTGTGCCTGAGGAGGAAGACCTGGGCAAGAGGAACAGGCACAGGTAGGTAGACATGGCAGCCACCTCAGCTGTCCACCTTCCCCCGCCTCAGCAGTCTGAAAGGGAGGCCCCATTCTGGCTACCAGAAGAAGGCTCTCCTGGGTGGTGAACTGTACTCTGGGAGCCTCTGCAGCTGTGAAAGCACCTCCTAGATGAGTCGACTATGCCCCTGACTCCTGGGGCTGTGGTGGGCGAGGAGGGGAGGAATTGTGTTTCCCTGGTAGAGAACCTTTGACTGGAGTCATCTGGAATAGTCCTTTGGCTAAGGACGAAGTTGAGAGAAAGGTGGGGGGCTTGCTCAAGGTCCCTGTTGTGTGTGTGTGTCTCCTTTTTCCTGTCTTTGTTCAGGGCATGATATGTCCCAAATGACTTCATCAGGTCAGTGAGACTGTGGCCTGTGGTGAGGAGGGCTGGCCTGTGTGTGTGTGTGTGTGTGTGTGTGTGTGTGTGTAAGTGTGGACCCAGAGCCGGAGGCCTTGGGCTTATGCAGGCAATTGTCATCTAGGAAGTCACTGGCCCTCTCCTAGGGCTCAACTGTTGGCTTTGGTGGGTGGTAGAGGGATGAGAAAGGGTCTTGTTGTAATGGGATTGGCAGTTCCTGGTCTGAGCCCCTGGAGAGCCAGGTTCTGGGCTGGCAGATGGGCACTGTGGCTTGGGAACCAGTTGCAAGCCAGGTTGTCAGCTTTGGGAGACACTATGACATTGACAAGCAGAAAGGTGATCTGGCATTGTCTCAGTGGGAGTTAGTTTCCTCTGTCCCGACATTCCTGCCTATTGCCTGTGAGACAGACCAGCAGAGAGATGAGTATGCCAGGCCAAGAGGGCCAGAGCCAGGAGGCCTGACCTACCTAACAACTGTCCCCAAGGAGGGAGCCAACAATCCTTACCACAGATACTGTGGTAGGACAATAGATATAGTACCCAAGGATTGACTCGGGATCGGTACGCAAGGGTTGACTCAGGAGCCATTAACAGTGTCCAGCTCCTAGAGAGAAGGGCATCAGGGCCAGGTAGTCAAGACCAGCCCAGTGGACTGGGGTTCTAAATGAGGTGCCAGGGTACAGGTGGGGGAGAGCACAAACTAGGAGCTGAAGTGAAGTCTTAGGTGTAGGGATGGTCCCAGCCATAGGATTACCAGGGTACACCACAGCTCAGGAACTCCATAGGTTCCAGGAGCCCTTCAGGGTGCAGGAGTCTGGGGGTGAGTGGAAGAAGACTGTTTCCTGCAGGCTCCCAATTGGCCAGGCTCTGTTCCCGGCTCGAGGGTGGATACAAAGAGAAAGGGTCAGTGGCCAAGGAGGCACAGTAGGCCCGACAGGCAGGCAAGAAGCAGCTGGAGGCTGAGAGCCTTGCCTGTCTCTCAGTCTCTCTGTCTCTGTCTCCATCTCTCTTTCTCCCTCTCTCTCTCTCCTTCCTCTGGATGGCCCACCTCTGACTATGTGAACAGCATGGTGTAGCAGTCTCATGCTGAGAATACACCATGGTCCCACCCAACAGCAGATAATAATCAGTGTGGAGCAAAAAGAAATACGTAAAGGCATAGAGAGCAATACAAGGCAGGATAAGGAGAAGACAGCAAGAGTTCACAGATGGGGAATTGTGACAGGCTGGATTTTAGGGAAGATTATTTTCCCCAAAACTTATGAAAAATGTTAAATGTACAGGAATATTATGAGAATACACCTACCACTTAGAGTGGTAGTTGCTAAAGTTTTGCCATGTTTGCTTTATCTGGCGCTCTCTCTCTCTCTCTCTCTCTCTCTCTATATATATATATACATATAATAGGTGTTACATATATCACACCAAACTCATAGTTTGTTTCTTGCTGTCATTTGAAAGTAGGTAGGAAACACTAAGGTACTTTACCCCTAGTATCCCCTAAAAATAACAATTCTCTCCTGTATGACCACAATATCATGATCATGCATAAGAAAATTAACAACTAGCTGGGCATGATGGCACATGCCTGTAATCCCAGCACTCAGGAGGCTGAAGCAGGAAGATTTGTGAGTTCAGGGCCAACCTGAGGTATATAATGAGTTCAAGGTCAACCTGGACTACACAGTAAGACTTTGTTTCAAAAGAACCCAAAGCAACAATAACAACCTTCCCCTCTATTCTCTGATATCATCTAATGTTTAGGCTTTATTCAAATTTAGTTGGGTTTGAATAATAGTTGGAAGATTTATTGAGCACTTACTATGTGTTATGGAGCATTTATTATGTGCTTTGTAGTGTTACCTTATTTAATCATCCCAACAGGTATATTGTTAAGCATTATCATCATGCTATTTCATAGGGAAGGAAGTAAATTAAAGTCAAGGGAGTTAAATAAAATGCGTGAAGTCCATTCTAGACCTAAGTCTGTCTTACCCGAGAACTCCCCCTAACCCTCAATGAAGAATAAAGAGCCTTCATACCACAGCGATATATGCACACGCATGTTTATAGCAGCACAGTTTGTAATAGCTAAAGTTTGGAAACAGCCCAATTGCCCATCAACTGGAGACTGGATAAAGAAGATGTGCTTTTTTTTTCTTTTTTTTTAATAAAATGGAGTACTACTCAGCCATAAAGAAAAGAAACTAGAGACATTTATAGCTAAGTGGATGCACATTGAGGCGATACTCTTAAGGGAAATAAATGGGACACACGTGTGTGAATACCGAATA